AAAATAGAGATCATTCGTTCAGCGATCGACGTTCGCTTTTTTAGCCACAGTTTTGTTCAAAAACTCCATAGCCGCATCCAATAACAACAGGCATAGATCTTCTCTGATGGATAACGAAGTTATGCACCATTTAAGGAACGAATGTCTCTCAATGCTAAGCGTTCTTTAACTCATAGGGTACAGTCTATGCCAAACGTCTCAATCTGTGCCCTACCCTATAAAAATGTTTCGTACCCTTAATCTACCCTACCCTATAAAGTCTGCACTATACCCTAATAGGAGAGGGCAGGGTGATCCTGAAATGGTTAATCTATGTGAAATACTTCAAATACATAAAATCTTTAAAGAACTTTTTCAGCTCAGAAGTGTTCCATAAAGAGCAGTGTTAGAAACAGACGCACTAATATATGAAAAACTTTCATGAAGTTTACGAAAAACTCAAATTGTCAACGGTGTAACAAATTTGTAGTAATAAAATTACTGGCAATAGTATTAACTTACTTGATATTGCGCTAGTCGACGTTGAAGTGATTGTAGATGTTGAAGTAGCTAAATATTATTAAATTGAAAATTCAACAGTGTATAAACACTAACAAAAGTAAATTAACTTGAGGTTGTTGATGTACTTGTCAAAGTACAAAAATAAACGCATAATGAAGACTTATTTTGTGATAAATTTCTGTTATACCGGCTGTTGCTGACAGAGCTGATGTTGGTGCTTGTTTAGCATTTGTTGATGCGACTACTGCTGGTACAATTGCTGCCATTCCAACAGCAACAAAAAAGATTGCAAAAGTTACAGCAAAAATTTTGCATAACTTTGACGCACAAAATCCACCGCCGCGACGACTTAAACACAGATATCTTGGAGCGATACATATACACAAACACAATATACGTACGCAATAGAACGAACTTTTTTCAAATTTTTTACATTCGTATTGACATGTCTAGTTGAGACGATTGACGACTGACTCTTTGAGTATGGAAAAATCATCGAGATGAACAATTTTTTTAGTGTATGTGTGTTTCACTTACAGAGCTTTGTAATGATGCATATCGATCCATATTAATCGCTGTTCCTCTTTAGTCTCTAAATGAAAGATTATTTATTACCCCATAAAAATATCTTCGACATTAGTCTTTTTCATGGTTACGATTCTCTAAGATGGCATAAAAAGTTGTCAATGTATTATTTCCTTAGATTATTGAGCAACTTTTGTTTAAAATTATTTTTTAATAGAGAAAAATTACGAATTATTCTTTCATGTAAAATACATGTTGTTGATGTCGCATAATGCATCTGAATAGTATATAAATTCCTTCGATTAAATTTCATATGAGTTGAGAGAATTTGCTCGGAGAAAAATCGAGTTGGTTTGGTAAACAATGTTTTCACACAATAGCCAAAAGTTATTTGTTAAAGATTTAAAAAGCAAAAAGTACTTTTCAAAACGAAAGCAAGCCCACAGTGAACGTCTTCTTAAAGACATCAACTACGCATATCTCCGTTGCATTTTTTATGGATTACGCGTAATAGAAGTGTCCTTTCTTTCAGTACAACTCTGTTTTGTTGTGTTATTACCCATTATGGCGCCACATGCGAATTTTTCAGGTATTCTTTTTTCTCAGTTTTGTTTCTGCCAGTGCGCATTTCTTCACTACATTTTTACCACGAAATTATTAACTTTGAACGTTAATAGAACCTTTCCATAGAATCACTTAAGCTTAATCTATCAGAACTGTAGGTTCCATTTAAACGTGGTGGAAATCTCAACATAGTCTTTGTTTCTAAAAAGCATAGCAAGTTACTGAAATCACTGCTATTAACGCACAAAAAAAAAGTATATAAAACTGATATCTCTAATGAGCTCCTGCACCATATGCAGAAATATCACGTTCAGTTGTCAGAGATTCTGAACGAGCTTATTTTTTCCGTTCAATTACTGTCTCGTGTTCTACCACTACAGACTGAGCCGTAGCCAGACACCTGATCTAATCTTTTGTGGGGAAAGAAATCAGACCTACCCAGCACCCAAAAATGAATTCTAAAACATCTAAGGCAGCTTATCTTGTGGCCCGTGAAATTCTGTATCAGATGCCGTATTGCCTGAATTCTTTCGATGAGTTGTTATTTTACAAATGGGACTTTAAGCTAGTAGTGTAGGCTAATTTAACATTAATTGGAACTAATTAGTGAATGACAGGAAGGGAAGAACAAAATTTTTACCCCTTTTCTCGTGATAAAAATTTTCCACGCATTTCTCTATCGATGCAGACAAGAACCAAGTTTTTATGATGAATGGAGGATACATAGGAAATGTTTTAATAATAGCCCCGTGCTCAAAAACCTAACAATAGTTCTTTAAGTAATTAATTTTTTTCTCAGCCAAATAATATAAGTAAGCTGACAAAACTTCAGGGCATAAACTTCGAAGTATTCTCTACAAACTGAAATGCATGACGAAAAAATTCAAAGCTTGAAAATATCACTGGTTTTTGGCTCTATCTCCAGCTGCTTTACAGTACGCTGTGGCGTGTACGTGACTTGAGAACCATTTACCTTACATATTTAGCAATTAAATAGAAATCTGCAGGTATGCATATTTCATGACCGACCGATGGGTCACATCAAATATGCCGTGACCCATCGGTGGGTCACATCGCAACGAATGTGTTAAAAAGAAATAAGTTTTTGTAAAGAATGTCAAACTTTTCCTGTACTTTTTATCACGACTCAGGAACATCATGATTGTGTAAGCTACTAGAACTTGGTTGTGAGAGAAATTCAGGATAATAGATTTAAAAAATAGTTATAAGTACTTAAAAATTGACATCCGATCACGTTTCGAAAGTATTTCTTTATTCTTTAATAAATATCTTGTAACTATTCAAATCAAGTACTGATACTATAATAGCTTGATTATCTTCATGTGTACAGGAAAGCGACAGCTTATTATACGATTAGATACTATACTGTGAAACATTATCATTGCGGATGATTTTTCAGAATTCAAGAAGAAATACAGGGCTTCTATTACAGATTAAGCTTACCTACTTACCTGTGTACGAATAAGATGAAATGCTTTTTTGTTTACTGTTTAACGTTCTTTCTTCTCATTCTCAAGAAAAAATGTACTCTATTTATTTTGTCTGCGTAAAGTGATCAGGTTTTTAAATTCAATTAAATTCTTTTCTGCTTTAAGTATAAAAGTGTGATTATACTATTAAGATTTCATCAGATTGAGTGTTTATAGTAAATACATTGCACTTTAAAAAGAGAATGCTGCACTGTATTAACCATTTCGAAAATATTTTAAACATCATAGATCTGTACTAAATTGACACTCAAAAGACAGATTGCTACTGTTTCACAAACAATTTCTGAAGAGGTTCCCACATGCAGTCACTCAGTCGTCGATCAAATTGAACAATTGAAGAACATACTGTAGACTAGTGCGTGTTGTCATTTTCAGAAAAATATTGAAGGTCAAGAACAAAATTCTACTTTGGTTTTGAAAAACTAGTTGCAATAGTCTGGAAACGGGCGAATATTAGAATTTTTGATTCTCTTTTTTGATATTAGTTATATTACATACCTTTATTGACAATCCATGCGCAATGTTCGCTGTTTCCTATTACCCGAAGAGATAAACTGTTTCTACTGTGGTTTTCAAAATTGAATGTGTGCGATTGTGAGTTGAATAACTCTGAGACTTCACTAGCTGCGGATCTACGGTTTTCACCATCAGGTAGCCAAGTCCTTGGGACATAGATATACATGAAAAAAACTTTTTGAAAGGATTTTGCGAGATTTTCTAGAAGGGTCTCTGGAAAACCAGGTGCGCAAAGATAGAAGGTTTGATGGAATTTCGATTTTGGGGTATTCTTTCGATAGCCCAAAGAGTTTTGTACATTTCTACATAGCCGCGCATTTTTCTGACCTTGCAAACGAGCGCTAGACCCAATATACAAAACCCACCAAAACGCATTTTTCAGCTAATTAAAGAAAAAACTTCTCAGAAAAACAGACATTACACATCGATATATAGGTTTTAGGACACGCCGATCATCGTGGCAGGGTTTCTTTTATGCTAGTCTGATTGAAAGCCATCAATTTAAGCTTGGCTTTATCAAGTGCCGTAACTACGGTTTCTATTAGCGGACTAGACAGGAAGACAAAATGATATCTTAATTAACGTAGAAGTTGTAGAAATATTAGAGACTGTGATTGAGAGCGTATCCATTACCCAGACATCGGCACCCGTTGCATCACACCCTGTCGCATCGCACATGTAGTCCATTGTCGTCACACGCCGGTGGTGCCCGTTGCATCATGGCACCACCGCTGCCTTATTCTATTGCAACTCATATATAATCCAATATTGTCTTATTTCATATGTGCTATATATAGTGGCGATTTCTTTGCAATAAATCACTACGCTACAGCCACCGTCCTCCATCTGATCTTCCTAGTTAGTCACGCTCTCGCTAGGTGCATCCGCTCACAATAGATCATTCACTATCAGTAATCACTTGTTGATTAGAATTTACATGGGTATATGAATAACATTGACACGTGATCGAACCATATGTTCACGGTTATTATATATCCGTGGACGTTTTTGCTTGTATTCTTTAGCCAGAAAATAATAGAGAATTCACAAATACATCACACATACCTATACGTATTATCATCTATTCTGCACCCAGATGAATTCCCATCGAATGCGAATTTACTAAAAATCAGATTCTCAGCGAGTGTGTATTCTCCATGCTATGCTGAGAGCGGAATGCAATCAGGCTTTTCGATTGTTTTTAATCAGGATGGGAAGATTTATTTGGCGGACAGTCTTTTTACAAAGTCGGCGGATAGTTCTTTCCTAAATACGTGAAACAATCTTTAATTGAAAAAAATTTTTGTTACTTCGTATCAGAATTTATTTTTTCAACGAAAACAATATTTAATAGTCATCCAAGTCATTTTCATTTAAATCATTTCATAGAAATAACGATATATTTCGTTCTTTGGCTTGACCTGGATGAGAAATAAAATCTTTTATAACAAAATCGGTAGCTTCTGGGGTTAATGGAAGTTGTGAACTCGAAGCTTTTATACATGGTTCGAGGGTCACGTCTCTCATACGATTTCGTATCCATGTTTTCACTCGACGAAGTGTGCTAAAAACCCGTTCATCTTCGTTTGACCCAACACCATATGTTGTCAATATTTGATATAACAAATACCATTCTGGTGTTAGTTCGCTATTTCTCAGCATCTCATATATATTCATTTTATCGTCTTTAATGTTTTTGACTAATGTTAAGAATGCTGGCATTTGATTTTTTAGTTTAGTCATATCGATAAGTGGAGGATCTGTTCTTTCAAGTTCATACAAAACTCACGTTCATCAATTGATTTTAGTACACTTTTAACAAACTCATTTCCTATTTTATTCATATCAAATTTATTTTGATCTTGTGATGGTGTCCGCAAACGAGTCGATTGACCTGTTGATGTTATACTGGATGAAAGAGACAGTGATTGCATAATGCAATCACTGTCTCTCTACGTAGAAAGCGACTGCTTACAGCTGTTACACAGTAGTCATTTTTTCCGTAGAGCAGGCGGACATCTGATTTTTTTGAGTTAAAAGATGATTGTTTTCGCATAATATAGTCTTATTATGTGTCAGATATTAATAGAAAAAAAAAATTTGAACAAAGATCTTTATTCGATAAAAAGTGCCTTTCGCTTGAAGCAAACATTTTTGGGCCATTAGGTAGCCTATCTATCGAAGTCTATTTGACCCTATTTAAGTTTTGAAAATGCGTATTGTCGGTTTTTTTGGCAAATGTCCGCCTGGATGCCCACTGTGTACTATTAGCGACTAACAAAATACAGCCGACGTATATTTAACAAATACTTGCAAGAGTATAACCTTTGACGTTCTAAATCACCAGGTTGCCAACCGTGAAAAATACGTCTAGAAAATGACTTTATCGGAATTGCTGAAGATAAAAGAAAGCGAACAGATTAAAACATAGAGCTGTTAGTAGGCTTGAAAATGATTTATGTTCTTTGTTAATACTTCTCTTGTCTTGTCTTAAACCCAAGCGCGTTGTAAGTGCATAGCGCATAACCTATGTCTGCAATGTGAAAGTTAGATACTCTACTGTTGCAGAATTGTAAAAGATATGAAAGATATGAACATTATCTAACCTGATACATTTCAATATACTATAGACACAATGCGTCGGTGATCTGATAAAAATGAAAAGTAGTCCTGAAATAAACAGAAATATGCTTGAATATGAACTAATGAATGTTTTCTTGTGGTAACATAGAAAAATGCTTAATTATTTTAAAATAACGGAAAAATACTGAACGGACTAATATTGAATTCTAGCGCAGGGCATACAGACCGATATTAAAAAGTTGACTGAATGGTTATTGACATTAACCTTGTTGTTTAGCTTACTTAAAACATTAGTATTCTATTGATTAAAGATGGATGGCAACCGGTTGCAACAGTATTAAATACTACTAGATGAGTTTTGACACTGCTGTCAAAAGTAACTGATCCGTAATTCAAAACAAGCCACTGAACGCGGATTAGATATATATACATTTTTAATTTGGGTGGTGAATCGCGAAATGTTCTATGCATAACACTAAGCATTCTCGACAATGTACGGCAGCTTTCTCAGTGTGTGATGCCCATTTCAGATTCAGTGATATATTTAACCCAAGGAGTTTTATCACGGTAAGTCTTCTTCATAAATATAAATAAATAATTATATGTTATATTAATTATATTCATAAATATATACAAATATTAAATCAAATCATAAATAAATCTTTTTGAAATTGCAATTTGATCGTTAAGTATTTCAACGTATAGCACGGTTTTAAAGTTAAAGGTTTCTGATAATCGTAATGTGATACTAAAATATCACCACCTGATCCTGTAACAAAAAATGTTCTCCTAATTAAGGGCTGCATGCTCATATAAAGTGGCAGGGCATTCAGTTTGCTCTGTGGCGCAGATGAAGGTAAAAACCCTATCTGTTTTCAATAAAAATACTACCATTCGATTTCTCGTGATCAGAGGGACATTTCTCTATATTTTGCTTTTAAAAGATTTTAGTTCTGTCCGTCAAAAAACGTTTTTTCTTCGGGGGTGTAAAAAACGCCGTGTATTTGAATGGCGTGCCATCGAGCAATAATTCAGAGCCGCTTTTTAGGAAAAAATGTTTCTTATCTCGGTAACGCAAAAGACCTGAGCAGAGCTTTTTTTTGAATTAGTCATGTCCTTATGTTTATAAGTAATTTGCAAAAAAGATATTTCTTCTACTCGTCTGCAAAAAAACTCCACGCAAATCTGTTTCGACTCGGTATGTAGTTCGTTTCAAAAGCAGTTTGAAAATGAACTAGTACATTTCAGAATTTCGATTTCACCTAGGTCTAATCAAAATTTAGATTTGAACTGATAAAGCGGACTAGGTGGATTTGAAACTCAACTGGATCAATAATGCATTTCAAAACGAACTAGTTGTGTTTCAAATTGAGCTAGACGGTTTTAAAATGCAGTGTCATTCAATAAAGTTAACTTATATCCTTCTTGTAGCAAGCAGCCTCTTTTCTTTTAATACTGTGAAGTTCAACAAGGCAAGGAAACGAGCAAATATATGCTTTTACCAGTTTTGTTGAGGTATAACGAGTGATTGCAGTGTTTTTTGTAATAATGGGAATAAGGATAAACGAGTGGAATATAATGATTGTCTGATAGAATCAAATACTGGAACCGTGGCAGCACGCCCATTCTCTCTTCTGTAAAAGAAGTATAAGAACTCTTTAATTAGTGGAATTAAATTAATTTGATTAATGGAAACTCACAAAGTATTTACAAATTTCTTCACTTGTTGATCATAAATTTGAGGTATTGGAGTTATTCTAAAACACGTTTTCTGATTGATTCAAGGTTTTGCTAGATAAAAGTGGGATTCCAGTGTTTCCTGGTGAAATCTAGAATTTGACTATAAAACTGAATTTCAAGTTTTTCCTAGAGAAAACTGAGATGCATACATATTGCGATTCCACTTTTCCCTGGTGATATCTGGAATTTACCGGGCACCTCTTTGTCTTTCCTCCCTTCCGTCGTACAAAAGATCACCTTAGACAATGTAATTTTTTATTCATCTTTGTAAAATATTTATTTTGTTTCTAGAACTTGGAATTTATTCCCGTTACATTAATTTCACTCTTACCCGGCCAAATTCCAGATATCACCAGGGAAAACTGGAATGTCACTTTTATCTAGCAAAATCTCGAATTTCACTGGAGAAAACTGGAATCGAGTATGTGCACGCACATACATCTCAGTTTTCGCTAGCGAAATCTAGAATATCACTGAATCCCGTTGATCGGTATACTGGTAGTAGTATGAAGTATAATCGGTCGGCCGATAGTTTGCGGTATGAAAGAATTTTTTTCAAAAACCATCGTGTAAATTGAGTTCATCTGTGACATATTTCTTCCGCTAAAATTTCATTCTGATTACTAAAGCTTTCTCGGCTTATATAAACTTCTTAATTTAGATTCAATTGCAATTTGATTGGATTGCTGTTTTCGTAACCAAAAAGTGTGTGGAAAGTCAGCTATACGTAATCAAAGTGACAAGATTAATCTATCCCTTTGATAACATAAAAGAAAGTTCACAGTAAAGAAAAACAAGGAAAAAGTATTTTTCTTTAGGCAAAATATGATCAAGTAAAGCCGGTACCGACTGGTAAATCGGTCATTGGTATACCGGCCCGTACTACTATCCGTTCCAAAATACAAGAGCATCGGTTGCTTTTTGAATAACTTTTGATAGGTAACGGATAGAGAGGTGCGGTTTTCAGTTCAAAAAGCTATCGATGCTGTTGTATTTTGGAATAGTAGTACGAAGTTTGTATACCGGTATCGCATTTTTGATACTGGTTACACCTCTGGATTGTATTGTGGATACACACATACATTGGCATATATGTATTGTAGCGAAAACTGGAATTCAGTGAAATTCTAGATTTCGCTAGCGAAAACTGGAATCCGAGTTTTCCGTAGCTAAAACTGAGATGTATGTGCGTGCACATACTCGATTCCAGTTTTCTCTAGTGAAATTCGAGATTTTGCTAGCTAAAAGTGGGATTCGAGTTTTTCCTGGTGATATCTGGAATTTGGCCGGGCAAGAGTGAAATTAATGTAACGGGAATAAATTCCAAGTTCTAGAAACAAAATAAATATTTTACAAAGATGAATAAAAATTACATTGTCTAAGGTGATTTTTTGTACGAAGGAAGGAAAGACAAAGAGGTGCTCGGTAAATTCCAGATATCACCAGGGAAAAGTGGAATCGCAATATGTAACTGTAAAACCACTTTTTTTTGATGATTATTAATACATAACGTTCATCTGCGACTCATTGACCCTTGACTGAAAGTCCGTTTTCGACTAGCGGTTAGTCAAAATGCCTTTGTAGCAGGTCGTATTTCTGGGTATCGTGGTGTGAGTCTCAAAGTACTAAAAAGATATCTATATGAATCGACCCGTTGAGAGTAAGATTCGGAGAAGTGTGCCAAATGAGCGATCGATTAGCTGCGTCCACAGATTTTTATTGTGATAACCTGAAGTATTTTTTGAATTTTATTCTGTTAATAGTTGCGGATGTGCGTAATAGTAGAAGGAATCGCTAAGAGGAGTGGTGGATACAGCTAGTGTTCGGGACGGGCGTGTGCGAAGATGTCACTCATCTACTGCGGATGGACGGACGAACGGACGGACATTTCGTTTGTATGACCCAAGACTTTCAGTCAAAGGAATAAAAAACTAAAGCATACTCATTGGAGATTACATCGTACAAAGCTGATGCCAACAGATAAAATGTGCAAAATTTTCCAAACAAAAGCCCATCTTCAGCTCGAATCGATTCCTCGGGTATGAAATGGCCGGTTCAACGATAGCCACACTTCTCGGCTTTTCAGACAAAAAAGTGAGAAATTTTCTTTTTGTCACTAGTGCTCGGGGACGCGCGTACGAAGATGCCCATTCGTCTACTACTATCCAACTAGTCTTCCGAGGGGTCTTTCGAACGCTCGTTTTACGTGTTCCGATGGGCCTCGAACGCTTATTTCGAGGTATCGAAGTGCCATTTTCCGAGGGGTCGAGCCCTCGTCGAGGGGGTTTAGTTCGAGTGCTCGTAACCTATCGAAAATTTTTGTTTTCGATCTCTCGAAA